TATTATTTCAAAAAGTCTTAACTTATTTGAAAATGTTTTTTTACATAATTCGATGTCATTGCAAACCAATATTTTTCAAATAAAAAAATTATATTTTTACAATCTTCTTATAGGCGCAGAGTAGACGACACAGCGTTATAGATACGCTGCAATAGAATATTGATCCACTACTCCGTCCATCTAAACTTTAAATAGATACCTACTGTAACTAACTCGGTACTCGTTCAAAGTTCGAATTTTATATACATTGAAATAACTTTACAACAAATATATTCCTCTTCGGAGTATGAAATCAAAAATGTACGTCGGCATTCGAAAAACTAAAAAACTTAAGAACCGAACTTACAATCGAAATTGAAACTAATATAATTTTAACTTCAAAAACGTATTTTTTTTTTGAAATGACATCTAACTATGATATATATCTGCCAGATACCTACCTATTATTGTGTAAAAACTAAAAACAATATTTTCAAAAAAGTTAGTGGGACACTCAAACGGATCACCTTGTATCACCTATTATAAGTCGTGTAAGTAGGTAGGTTAGGTGTACGTATTATGGTCTATGTGATATTATTACACTCACGCGCAGACGCCACACCGACGACGACGGCGACGACGTCGTCTCGCCGGTGGACAAAAATGCATTTCTCTGGCGTAGAACACCCGTGTACATAATAATAATAATAATAATAATAATAATCATATAATATAATATATAATATATTGTAATATAAATATGATGACGACGGCGATGACGATGACGATCATCATGATCATGTTTTGTGCGTGCCCACCCCGCCGAACAACGTGACGGTGCGGGCGGCGGCGGCGCGTCTATATTTAAACGGCACGCGAGCGTCGGCGGTCGTCTCCCCGACAGCCTGCCCGCCCACCAGACCAGGCCCGCTCTTTCAAGATCGTAAAGCGAGAGCGATATTATTTAAATTTTAAATACGACGTGTGATGCGCGAGTACTCCTAAGCTGTATAATATTATAACGATGGAAACGGTAAGAGAAGCGTCGCAGCCGTGGCGCCGCCGTCGATTAGTGCCTATACTAGTATGAATATTTGATGACGACGATGATTTAAATATTTACAATAATAGGCAGTAATATGAGAAATAATATATATACTCGTATATTTTTATAAGTGTTTATTATTATTATTTAAAGTAGGTAGGTAAATATTACAAATTACAAATATTTACAGTACGGTATTTCTTTTTGATTTACCTATTATAGGGCCATAGGGGTATCCAGAGCCATATCTGGATAATAGAACTAGGGTGGAAAAATAATTTACTAACCAAAATCGAAATCATAACCTAATTGTTTTTTTTTACACAAGTCTCAAAACGCATTTTATGGCTTAGAAACAAATCGAAGTCTACCCGTATCGTTAAACGATATTAAGTAGGTACCTAGCCACTTAGCACCCATAGGTACATAAGTGTTGAAAAAAGTGTTATGAATTGTTTGAAAAAAAAATGTGATGATAATTCTTTAATCATAATTCATTACTACATAATATTTTGTATGTAACAGGAGCCACGTGCAATAAAATATGTAGGTTTCTACCAAATGTTTAATTTGAGGGAACCAATATTTTTATCTTAAAATATATTTCAAATTTATTGCATTCCCTCTTTATTTTAAAAGATTTAGAGAATTCTACTGTTGGCATATCTGGGGTGGGGAGACATGTGCCTCCTTGTCACCCTACAATTATTACGCTACTAGGGGTACCTTCTCTAAGTGTCTTACTTATGTTGAAGCCTGAAGGTTTTTATTATTTAAGTTAATGCAATTATATAGTAACTATTTAATACCAGCTGTTATATGCTTATAGGCTTGCGATAACAGGATTATTAAGACGCATTGATAAATAAATAACAATTAATTGATAGGTATACAATATATTCAGATTAAAAGTGACTTATGATAATAATAAGTAACTGAACTTACATAATATATGGATATGGTATGGGTAACTCTGCTCTACACACTTGAAGTCTGGGGAAAACATTTTTGAAAAATAAATTTTGTTCAACACGCTCGAATGACGTTACAGTGGAGGGGGGAGGGGGGTCCTAAGAACATTAGAGCACTTTACATCACGACCGATGGGGCGAGATTACGTTTTCTTTCAAAACGATAAACTTTTCCTTTTTACGCTGAATTTGAAAAATTCAATGTTTGTCATAGGCGCAATTTGGGTTGAACTTATGGGGGTGCTAGATTTATATCAAAATAAATGGGGGTTTGCCCCACACATCTCCTTCCATTCGTACAACTTTATTTTATACACCTTCTCATTAATCTTAATACAAATAATACACTTTTACCTATATTATTATTCTAATACATATGTATCATTATTCATATTATTATGAATAGGTGTCTTAGAAATAATTGTATCAATATCCAAATACCTATGGCATAATTGACAATAAAATTCGATGATGCTATCAAAAATTTGGGGGTGCTAATATAATTTTTGGGGGTGCTAAGCACCCCCAAGCACCCCCCAAATTGCGCCTATGATGTTTGTGATTTGTATCTACCTCTCCAGCTATGTAAAAGTATACCTTTAACCATGCCCACGACAACAAGATTATATTATAAATCGTTGCAGGAACCTATATGGCTATATATGGCTGTATATATTATATAACCTATACTGATATACATAATATACATTAGTACCCAACAAAATATCCGAAGGTACCTTGTGCAATGTCAAATAAATTAACCAAACAGTTTGAAACTACCTATATAGACTACTGTAGTCTAAGTTCCACGAATTTCCCCGACGAATGAGACATTAAGTGATGTATTTCTATGTTTATTATATTTGTATTTTGTAATTCATATAACTATTATAATATGTCTATACTACTTTTAAAATATTAAGTTCTGCAGGGCAGAATGACAGCAACTGATACCGTAATAGTTCGACGGGAGTACAACTCCTCTACCTAAACTTTACATTAAACAAGCTTAACTAAATACTAGTTGACAGAATTTAAGTTTTCATAATTAATAATTAGGTACTTAGTATACTTCACTGCCCGAAAAATATACCCAATTGGTTTTGTCAACCACTCGACAATATACTATAATCGGTACACTTAGAATAAATGGTATACGCGTAGCGCTTATTATTTCTAAAATCTTTGATAAATTATAAAAAGAAATTCAATAACAGTGGCGGGCGTGAAAAAAGATTTAATTGAAAAGTGTTTTATACGACCTGCAATGTGCTATGTTGTAGTGGTCTTGTAGTCTGGTGCAAATCTCTTTTTTTGAATTAAAACCATCCTATGGTAACTGACTTTGACTTTGTCGAGTGAATCGAATTATTATTGCTACACGCACAAAGGACAAAAAAAAACTCGTTCGTACGCATTACACATAAATATATTATCATTATTTCACTAGCATTAATTTTCAACCAGTACAGCTACGCGGATACGACACTAATAAATAAATATTATACAATGTTATCGACAACGGTTTTTTTATTCCGAACTCTTTAAACATAAATAAATGAGGCTATTTAATGGTTTTAGTATGACTATATAATATCTCTGTGAAATATGAAACACTTCGAAAGTGCGGAGTATAGATCTGAGTTGCTCTACAACAGTCTGTGTACCTATCTACAGAGAAAAGTTATAGCGAGTACTTACAAAAAAGTCGGCATTATTTAAATTGCTTTCGTTTTATTAAATAATACGGTTTTAAAATTAAAAAAAAAAAAATGACGATATATTTAAAATAATAGTAGAGTGAGTTAAGAGGCACATATTTTACTTTTTCTAAACTCACAGATTGTTGACAATATCAGTCTAACCGTTAAAAACCGATTTTTTACATTTCGTATTCTGTATTAAGGCGCTTTCGCAGCTACGTCGTGTGTCGTGTGATGGCTTGGTTATTATGTGGTAACGACTGGTAACCAATATGGTTTAATAGTTGAACTGTAGTCAATTCTTGGTATACTCGGTTGCCACTTGGTCATTACATGATACCAACAAAGCAATATCCAATCACAGTACGCGATTTTATCGACACGACTCGACACACGACGCAGCTGTGTGAATCCGGCTTAGTAGGCCTTGTTGTAGGTACAATACGCGCTGAATTTAAAACGATTAAGTACAAAATGCGCCATTTTTTCGTTGTTGATATTATTATTAATATAATAATATTATCTTCCACATAATAATATCGTTTCCGCCAAGGCCAGCTTATTCTTCTAATCTTCCATGACACCGCAGAGACGCAGTATTATTTGGTTGGTTATACTTACCAATAACCGTCGTCGTAACGTCTCGTTTCCAAGAAGTATGTGGTATTATGGTGCCATGGTGCAATATAATAACTGATTAAGTCATCGTAGGGTTTTCATTTCGATTAATTTCGTCGTTTAATTCGTCAACTGCGTAAACTTTCGATTATTAATGAATAACCGTCGTCGAATACTGCTGCAGTATAGGTACAAGAACAATTTCACACTCTAAAGGCCTTCCCACACTAAATACGTCGATGTCCGTTGCGATGACGTACTCTTTTTGAATTTAACGTATTCAAATACGAATCCGCACACCAGGTACGACGCGTCAAAAGTCGGGTACGTCCGTCCGGCGCGTCGATATAAAATTGCTATCAGTTGAATGCGTCGACATTCGAATAGAACCATATTTTATTAATATTTTAAAATAGTTTTATCTTCAGAATTTGTAATCAACACAGTATTCCCAATGATATAATCAGTAGATAGTAGATACCCATACTTTTGACTACGGACAAAACTTTTTATTTTTATGTTTATATAATTATATTTAATATTAATCATTATTTAATTTTTTTTATATATAAAAATAATAATAACTAATGACCATGGACGATTTATGCCGAATAAGAAAATAATGTACCTATATACCTACAACTAATGTATAATAAATTAAAAATAAAATAATAAATACGTATCTTACCTTAATGTGACTACAAGTCGTTCTTTAGCGGGTATACTTTTTCTAAAATTTGTATCATTTTTAGAAAGCGAATTTTTTAAAAGTGTGTATAATATATCGAATTGATCTTTGTTCATTCTGAAGGTATTGAAATATCGATCTGGATATAATTCAAGTTCAACACATAATTTTTTGAATTCTCCGTTTTCTGATTGTGTTCGATTCATAGAATGTACCCAAAGTCTAGTTTTCTTTAATGTATATTTTTTCTTTCTTCTTATTAATAATAACAATGCCAGTAGCCGTTTAGATCGCGTACATAACGTCATATTTATATTATTTATTATTTATATTTACTTTAAAAATTTAATTGAATAAACTAAATCTTAAGAAGTTAAGACACACACAGAACACGTCTTACCTATTCAAGTTTAGTGTTAATACTAAAAGTAGTGACTTGCATGCAATGGTGATGGAGCAAACAATCAGATAAAGGAATATAGTAGGTAACTGCAGTAATAAGCCAGTAATACATTGTACATTTTGTAATCAAAAGTTGATTTGGTTAGATAGAAATAATTATAATTTATAGTTAGCATTTAGCTGACGGATAACCAATAAACGCATTTAGTGTGGGACCTGTGTACGTTGCGTTTAACGTATACTTTAGACGTACGTCATCACAACGGACGTCGACGTATTTAGTGTGGGAAGGCCTTAAGCGATGATCAAGTGGCAGGAGCCAGCTGGAGTTATGATCGGGATATGTCACTCCGTTTTCAGGAGACGGAAATCACGAAAATTTCGAACACCGTGGTAATAATAATATTATTATTTACCACCACCACTAATAACTATTTGTAAGTTTCTATTTATCGGAGCAGGCGTATTTACATATTTAATAATATGTTGAGGTAGGCGTATTGTACTAGTCATATCTTGTAATCCAGAGGTCCGACAGCTTTTAAAAAACTACCCCCCTCCTCCTCTCTTATCGAAATAAAACAAAAAATTATTTATTTCCACAAGCCTGGATCAAGATAATTTTGGGCCAGGGGCCAAACAGTTTTAGGGGGCCCATAAACATAATCAAAATATTGGTGACCCACAAATAAATATTTTTCAGAGATAAAATTTTTTTTTACATTATAGGTAGGTATATTTTATTTCATTATTTTAATTATTTCAATACTTTTTTTTTTTAAATGTAAGTGTTTGAACAATGAACATAATATACATAATAAATTATAAATATTATTGTATGAATGCGTTCATTATTCAAGGTAATATTCAAAAGTTAACATCAATAATTACATTATTTTGTTTTCATTTTTATCAATATTATATACTGTAAAATTGTGTAAAATTAATTAATTAATATTATAACAGACTCCCCACTTTTACTTTTATAAGCTATTGCTTATAGAGAGTAGGTATCAACTTTAAATGTTAATTTAAAGGTAAATATTATTATGAAGAAGTTAAAATAAATTATTATTATTATTATTAAAAACAGTTTTGTAGCCAAATCTATAATAAGTACCTAGTAACAATGATTCAATCATAAAATTCGTAATCGACGGTATTCACAATACTCACTACTCAGGTCGGTATTCCTATAAATCCTATTTCCTTACCAATTATCTTCCTGCTTAAAATAGGCGTCATTGTCAATATTACGATAGCATAATAATAACATAATTATCCATTATCGATATAATATTATAGTAATATTTATAATGATTGTATTGCCTATAGGAAACGTATTCAAATATTTCTAATTTAATAAAAAAAAAAAAAAACGTAGGTACTATCCGTTAGGGGAACTATAGGTAACCATTAATATATATAGCCACTATAGGTTCACAGATCATCTATAGATATTAAAAAACAGACTATCCAATCGTATAGTTGATAGGTGCAACATTTATGGTCATGAATCAGATTATCACTCGAAGAACAACTTTTATTGACTATTGTGCTTAATGACTGGGAAAAAAAAAATAATGCAATGTCTAAAAACTAAGTTCTTAATGTTTTATTTCTGGTAAAACTGCAAAAATCCAATTTTTTTTTACGTTCAAGGGGTGCAGGGCTCATCATCCCCTAGTAACGACTATGTATAAGAAACGTTTTCACGTACATGGTATATCGTCGTATATCAGCGCAGTCTATCTATCATTGATTATAAATCATGAGAAGTGTGGTAATTGTCACATTATAAATCACGAGGAGCGTGGTGATATTCACTATAATATTATACGAGTGAGACTGTTATTGTAATGAATTATTTACATTAAGTTTGATAATAATAACCGAGATAATAACAATAAAAAAATATATTTTATATTATATTATACAGATTGCGTTTACAATGATGTGTATGTTTTTTTTTGCTCATTGGTTTTTCGTGGCTAACAGAAGACAGATTTTAGTTTTTATATTGGAAAGAATGCTCTGATCTTCAACTCTGAGGGATGTTTCTGGTAGAAAATTGGATTTTGATTGTCCTTTGAGGTTAATTCAAAAGTAGAAATTTTCTGCAGTGCCTTACAATATAATCGGGAAAAACAATATTTACCCATAACCTGCTCGATTTTATTTTTTTTTGTATGGAATCCAAAAATGAATAGTACCTATAACAATCAGTTAAACCAACCGTAGAGACTTGACATTTTTACCAAATATGTATATTAATATTTTCTCATGATGCAATTTTTAAATTTTGGTTCTTTTGAAGCTATTTATAGATATTAGAAATTTTTTACCTTTTTTAGTTTTTATTTGACTTAATAATTAAGTAATATAACGTATGGTTAAATCTAATTTTTGTTTACGATTAAGAAAGCTTATTTAATTCAAGGTTCCTGACAAGCTTTTCCAAAAGCAATTCAAAAAATTCAAAAATACATAATATTATAGTTACAACATTTTTGTGATGATTTGATGAAATTCATATAGAAAAATATATATTCTACACCGTTTTTAGACGAGAAATAATTATACATAATAATATTCATCCCATATTAGCATGGTACAACCTACCTAATGTAGTCTATATTATTCTGTAACGTCAAAATATTTTTACCATGATTTAACCGAAAAACGATCTATTTTGTGTTAAGCAGATAGTTATCTAATTATCTAAATAAGGTTATAAAATAAGGTGTCTAGTAGTCATCTAGATAAGATTTATACTTTATTATGAAAAAATATTATTTCATTTGTTTCACCGGCATAGAATTTAATTTTCAAAATTTTCAATTTTCAATAAAAATGTTTCATTAATTTTCTACTCTATACTTTTCAACAACGTACATGGTACATTAAAGTGTTTTATACCTGACGCTTAACATTTTTGGAACTATAATAGTTTATGGGATGTTGATTTATTAACGACTATTATACAACGCTTAACCGTATTATTACGGGGCATTAAAATATGATATTGGTCGTATGATAACGTTTCGAAATGTATTTTAGGTTTTGTGTATCGATTCTCTCTGCACTCGTAATAGGGAAAATTAAATATTTACGTAATAATAATATAGTAAAGTGGCCGTTCCTCTGCTTTTTAGGACAAACTACGATTTTCCGGATAAGCAATATAAACATTATTATGGGTGTTGACGAGAATAATATAGAATTTTGCAGGTTGTAAGTATTTAAATATTTTACACGCATTTCCGTTTAACTAGGTGTATGATTATAAAGATTATGTTCCGAATAATTGCATTTTTATCGATCGTTGGACACGGAGTATATTATAATACAAATATATAATATTATATTGTATTAAATTTCGTTGTGGTCATGTCTTGTTTTTTGCACTACATTCTCTAGTATCTTGAACGATCGTGATTAATAAGTATTTATTATACATAACATAAATACGTCTACCTCCGACCTCCGTTTACGTGTAATGTATCTACTATCTACCTATTTTTACCATACTATTAGACCATTTTGGTAAGATTATTATTCTCACGTGTCCACCTTTTAATTTGTTAGTAGTTATATTCACGTCAATAAATAATTTACCTCGTTTAATTTTTGGTGATGGTTAAGAGCTCTTTTATTTGAATCCTTCAAAGTTGAATTTTTATAAATTAAAACATACTATAATTATTATATAATATATTTATAGTAACAAATAATCTGTTATTTTATATGTGATTGCGAATATCAAGTTATTAAAAATCTATTTACTCTATAAGGGGGCTTTAGAAATCAATAACACGTCATCATAAAGATAATAAAAAATAGTTTTTAATAAATTTAAATAAAAATTAGAAAATTCAACATTAGAAATAGCTGGTATAATATTGTGGGTAATATGAAAATGAAATAAATAATTTATTCAAATGCTTTATGTATAGTAATATTTAAAAGTAAATATAGGTACTATAATATGAACTATGCTATATAATATATTGTTAACACATAATATTAACTATTAAACTATACATCTATGGCTATAATATGATATTATTTAACAGTTCAGAACTTTTAAAATTATTTACTCGGTTAGGTTATCAACCAAATTTAATTACGTACAAGTTGAATAAGCTTTGAGTTATGAATTTGTATAGTATTTCATTATTTATTTATGACTTATGCTTTATGGTAAAATAATAAAATATGAATACAACAATTATTTCAGTACCTACCCATGTCACAATAACATATATTTATAATAACTATTTTATACTCTTTAAATACAATTTGCGTATTGAAAAAAATTAAATAAAAGATTAATTTGAGAACCTGTTTAGAATTTAATAATATTATTTTATTTTAATTGAAAAATAATAATTATATAATATTAATTTTACAATCTGAAAATTCTAAACTAGCTTTTGAAAATATTTTATTAAAATAAATAACAATCTTCTATTTATTAGTTTGTCTTCGTCGAATTCGTGTCTATTATTCCTTAGAGCTTTCTTAAAAGTAACCTATCCAAAATTGTTTTACAAAAACAATTAACTGAAACTAATAATTTGTTTCATTAATAAATCGATTAAGTTCTGAAATGGTAGAACCAAGGTTTTCGTGACTAGACTGTTGGTATTTACTATTTAGAACGTCAATACAAAGTCTTGTCATTATTAAAAAAGCATAGTCTAAATACTCTAAATAGTTATTCGAATTTCATTGACAATGTAATTTACATAGTTACCTATATAGTAGGCTCTATTGGAATTATCACTTAATATTAATAATTTAATAATACCAATATTATTGTAGCTCATACAATCAAAAACACAATATATATTTAAATAAGAGGTTATTATTTTATTTTATTTTTTAACATTTTTAAAAGCAT